CGAGAATTGCACTCAAACATCAAAACGCAGCTAACCAGGCTAAAAATAAACATGCCTCCTTCATTCAGTGTTGTTCGATGCGGGGATGCAGAGGAGCCATTAGTTGCAGATCAGAGCACAATGCATCTCCGTGACTACCGTTAAACAAAGAATTGTAATTAGACTCTGCCTGCACAGTGAACGGTTCTTTATTCCTTTGAATTTAAATTGATGATCATGCAAGCAAGTGCAATGCAATTTCTATGACTTATACATCATTTACTCTTTGACTTGTCGAGACACGCACGCATATATCTCTGAATCACGCACGTACATCCACAAACAAAAACCTGCGTGTCTACGTACGTATCCAAAAATATGTAAAATTATTTTATGCAAACACGTAAATTACAGACAGACGTACACGCACGTACCGCATTTCACAAATAAACACTCAAGACTTCAGTTAATTTCGTGGAAGTGTAACTTTATGCGCCGATCTTGAAACCTTTATTACGCACCTTTGTTGCAAATATCAGCAGTGCATGCAGTGCACCGCCCGCCCACACGCCATCAATCCTCTCAAATTAATTTAAATAAACGATTTCAACTGCGTCCTAAGATGTTGTTGGCTGTGTTTGCGTTTCAAAGTGCTACGATTAATCAATCCGTGAACGAGGTCTGTAATTTATTTTAAACTCCTTTTTTAACAATTAAATTCCTTTACGTTTGTTTATTCCTTTATCATAGCCTTTAATTTTCAAACCATCGTCAACATCTTGAAAATTATTTCCAACACAAATATCATCAGCATGATCACTTATTATATTCTAATCATAATCTCGATAAAAAAAACATCTTCATTTCGTTAACAACCAAAATGTGCCCTAAAGTAAGAAAGAAAATATAGGAGTTACTGAAGGTGCTACGAAGCTGGCAAGCAAACACGCGTTGCTGTCCATCTTATTGATGGCAATTTTCATTTTGCCATCTTATTGATGGCAAAATGAGGTCCGCTTATTTAGAACGTGAAGGATGCATTGCGTTGACAAATGAAGAATATCCATGCCAAAAATTTTTTTTTCTTTTTAAAATTTCAAATGATAATCAATTTCAATTTTTTTCTTAACCAGGGTTGAAGTAATTTTTATTGTCCTAAGAAAAATGTAACACGGCGTAGAAGTATTCTGTAATCTCAGTACTATTACTGTAAAAGCAACTTGAACTTTACTATTGTGTTACCATCTAAGTGTTTTAATAAGTGACATGGTTAGTAGCACCAGGCAGTAGCAAGCCTAGAGCACTCAGGATTTAATTTTGAGACTAAAAATAAATTAAGTAAAAGCAAAGAAAAGGCAATATTTTCTATTTCACGTTGAAGCATTAATAAAGACGAGGTGAGTGGATTGGATATAAATGATGTTGAAAATTCTGTTCGAATAACTTTGGCTAATTAAAACTCTACATTAATAAAAAACAAAAAATTTTGGGTTGAAATTAATTTTTTAAAATAATTTAGCATTAATATTTTTTAAATATTTTTTTGAACAAATAAGTTTCAACACTCACCAACCTAGCATGAAAGAAACGAGTCTCTACCGTAATATTTTAATCGGTTTCTAATAAAGTTCCATAAATTTTATTCAAACCATCCACATGATAATTAAAGTGTCTAGATTTTTTCAATTTATTTTGCAAATTTGTTGCTAATTTGCGAATGTTTGGATCTCTGGTGCAAACGTGAAAGTGCATCGCAACAGTGATTTATAACCCTGCAAAAGTTTCAAGAAACTAAATAATAAAGCCATTTACTACAGATTTTTAAGCAGAGAAAGATTTCTTTGCTCAGTAAATCTTCTTTGCAATTAGAATTGTAAAAAGTTAGTTCCAAAAATAATTTTTCAATTTTCAGTCGCTTGCTTCAACAGTTTTTTTTTATTTAAACTAATGGACCGTTAAGTGGACTGGAGTTAAATGAATTACTTTCTTCCAACAAATTTCGAGAACGCAAACTAGAAAATTTCAAAAAATTGTCATCAAAACCACAAACGTTCTCATTTTTAAAAAAAACATTTTCCATTATTCTAATTTTCCTTCTTGGCCTGCATTGGGTTGATCCAGTTAATTAACGTTGCCTGTTAAAACGTTTGATGCACTTCTTATAAATTTTACTAATTATAAAAATAGATTCTAATTACATGAATGAATTTATTTCTCCTAAAATATTTTTTTGTTTTTTTTCCGAATTTCTTACAAGTTTGACAGGCAAAAGACAGAAATCCTTGTCAATGTTCGTTTCATTCTCGCAGCATCCACTAAACGATATCATACTCGAGAGCAACAACATCGCCGGCGGTGAAAAATTGAATGCAGTTTTAATGATGCTCATCTGACAGTCTCTCCGGCCATCTCTCAAATAATTTCGCCGTCCGCCGGATGATTATTAGCCGTTTAACAATGCAGAAGCCAGTCTTGTAAAATTCTTAAGATGTTACACGAATGCATTGTATTGTGCTTCTATTGTCTGGAATCTGAGAAGAAAAGTGTGAAAAGAAAGAATAATATTTTTAATGTATAACTATATTAAAAGTTATTTTTGAATCGTTTAAAGAGTTTTTGTAAGCGTCAGATAAATTCCGACAACAAATTCGCTAAAAACGTTTAATAACATTTAAAACTAAAACGATTTTTTCGTATCCTTAATAAATGTAATAAATTCGCATTAGCATGCTCATATCCGCGAATAATTTAATTTCTTGATTCTCAATCCGGTTCTTTATGGTAAAGTTAACGCATGTTTATTTGCATGCAATTGCTTAAACGAATAAAATGTCGTTGTATTTTTAATTGCATAATTAGACCAAATTGCAGTAAACTTACGCTGATTCATTGAAACTTGTTCAGAGAAGAATCTTTACGCAAAATGGAAAGTGGAGAATTTATTCACCGAACAAATTCTAGTGGACTTTTGCTCAAAATGTTGACAAACTCATAAAATGATAATAGAACAGCTTACCCGTAGTTTCAGCAAGACGCGGTGACCTCGATAATTTCCAATTTTATTTTGCATCTTCCGGGGTTCAGCCGTCTGTTTAAAATAAGGAGTCTGAGACCGAAAAATATAAATTAAAATATGGATATATGGATAAGGCCAAGGTCACCATTCTGTCCCTGGTTTCAGAATCTCCCTGGTTTCAGAATCTCCTTGGTTTTAGAATCTCTGATTAACACTGAACATTGTCGGCGTGCCATAAAAGGAAAACCGAGAGAAAAATCCGTTGTTATCTGACAAGTCGTTAAAAAGTTGAGAGTTGGGGTCATTACAGTAGCCAAAAAATTTGTTTCCCATCCAAATGTGAAACACCCCAAAATTTGGTCATGATCTGTTTCGTTCTTACGCATTAAACCAAAACCACTAACTAAATTAAAACGCAACGTTTGATGCAATGATTGATTAAGAACATTTTGATTTATGATTAGAGAATAAAAACCGCAAAACAAGAAAGTTTCTTCTAAATGACGTTTTTATTCATTGAATAAAAAAAAATCCACATCACTTTTTCAACCTAAAAATTTGCTTTCACTGTTTACAACCGGCAAATATCTTTGGACACTTACTTTGATATGTATATATTGGGTGTATTTATTATTATTTATTATACCTCTATCATCACCTCTTTACATTATTTCAATTAGACATAATTATCATCAGCATAATTTTCAATAAACGTAATGATTTCGTTAATAAATCGATAAAATAAATTAAAAATAATTATTTTCATAATCACTAAGAATTAAACAAGAATCGAATAAATTAAAATATAAAAACATTTATAATACTGAAAAGCGTTGAACGAGTAGGAAAAAGTGTTTGTGTGGGTGTGTATGAGTGAGAGAGGTGAGAGAGAGAGAGAGAGAGAGAGAGAGAGAGAGAGAAAGAGAGAGAGTATGTGAGTGTGTGTGTTTGGTTCGTAGGATAGATAAAGAAGAACGTGGATGATTTCATTTAGAACAGTACTGGCAGAGACAGATGTTAGGTGGACGGACGGAAATACTTCAAATGGACAGATTTTTTTATTTCCAAATTTTTACTTATTGCTTTAACATTACTTTCTCGTTATTTTTAAATATACGCTCTGTTCGTTTTGGTTGTCTGTCGAGATATGACGACTTGGCAAGCTTGCTTGTGTGCAAATTATAAATAGAAATTAAAGAAATTTACATTAAAAGTAAAAACAGAAGCTTTGTACAAGTTATGGTAGAGCGTACATGATGAATGAATGAATGAATGAATGGAATATAATATATAGATGGATGAATGGAAAGATACATAAAATGGATGAATGGTGGATGAATGAATGGATGGGTGGGTAAATGGATAGATAGAACGATAGACTAACCGACTAAAAAAATCGTTCTTTTATGAAACAATCATTTTTTTATTTATATCCTAAGCAATAATATTTTATATTTTAATTAAATTCAATTAATATGATTTTTAATGGACAACATTTAAGCAGTAAATTGTTACATTGCATATCAAATCAGCTGATTCAAAAAAATAATCTACCCGAAAAACCTCGAAATATGTGGTCATTGTTTTTAAAAATTCGCCAATAACTTGAAACTTAAAAATTTTAAAACAAAATTAACAACTGCATTCATTACGAGTTTCTCTCTATAAATTTTTTAAAAACAAAAACATCCATGCAGTATAAAAGTATTGTTATTCTTAAAAATAAATAATCGAAATTTAAAAAAAAAATAAACAATAGACAAAGAAGATGAACATACGACCATCATGATTTCATCAGATACATCAGTAACCGCATCACCATGACAACGTACACAACGAACACCAACAACGACACTGGTAATATGAAAAAAGTAACAACTTTACAACGTGGAAAATAAAATGTAAGGAGAGGGAGAGATGGTTGGAGAAGAAAGAAAGGAGAAAAAGGAGGAGAAGAAGAAAGAAAATGAAAAAAGAAAAAAGAGGAATGAATAAAAAAAGTGAATCAAGAAGAAAGCCAGTTCTTGGGCACCCATTGTGCAGTGTTGTTCATCTGATGGATGGTATGCCGGAGTTCGTTGAAGGCACGATCGAGGTCGGTGATGACGATGATGGAATCGAACATGTGACTGTACTGCTCGTCTATCTCACGACCCTCTTCTATAATCTTCTTCAATGACTCATCCTGCAACATTTTTGGTGATGGTGATGATTTTTATGATGATGTATGATGATGACGATGATGTATGATGATGATGATGACGATGATGAAGGTGAAGCTGACCACGACTAAAAAACGCATGGTCAGCTAATTAGCACAGTGGGTGATACCAGCACCATGCATCGTTTCTTTGTTAACAAAAAAAATTTGCTAAAATTACATCGGCCCGGTTCTTGCCGGATTACTCCACTTTACATATTTATAAATGTTTACGTTAAAGTTTATTATAAGGTTTATTCTTCTTATAATGTTTATAAACGATGTTTATATTCCTCTTATAATGTTTATAAATGTTTTCAATAAGGGGCTAATGAATGGAAACATCTCTAGCAACTGAACTCAGCGAGACGATTTATCACCTCTGAAGTCGAACCGGCAACCAACTGGTTGGACCTCACTAATGATTGATGATGTTGCCGAGGTAGCAAGGTCCAGATATGATTTGTATAAAAAAAAAAAAAAAAAAAAACCTGTACGAGTTTCTTTACAATTTTTTGCAAAATTTTAAAATAATAAAAATTAGCCAGTTTAAAAAACTCTTAAGAAAATGACAAATTAATAAAATATATCTTTAATTAATAAACTAATTAATAATGTGTTGGCAAGTCAAATTAATTAAAATTATTTCAGTAATAATAACATAGCAGCAACATATTAATGAATCTTGAACGTACGTTGAACTTGACATTTTGCTTGGCCTTCATCTGCCGTAAACTTTCAATATTTTGTGGCATTATGAAGATAAAGTACGGTCTCAAGTCAGACTCACGCAAAGTTTTCATGGCCTGTCAGGTACGGTATGAATAAATATCTTATATAGATATATATATTTATATATATACATATGTGTGTGTGTGCGTGTGTGTGTGTGTATGTGTGTGTGTGTGTGTGTGTGTGTGTGTGTGTGTGTGTGTGCGTGTGTGTGTGTGTGTGTGTGTGTAGAGAGAGAAGAAGAGAGAAAGAGAGAAAGAGAAAGATAGATATCTTGAATTTAAAAATAAATAATTAACGATTTTTTATAATTTTAAATGATTTTGCTAATAAATAATTTAAATAATTTAAATAATTTTAGACTAGAAATAATATTGAAAGAAATGAATGAACCAGTAAAAAGACAAACGGGAACAACCTGTGGGTGGAAGATTAGAACGCATGTCTTGTTCTCTTGAATGACAGTCCTGATGGCGTCAAAGGTCGTTCCGAAGTGATGCTTCTCATACTCGCCGTACTCCACAAATTTGTTGTTGGATATTTCCTCTTCAAATTCCTGCTTGCTGATAAAATGGAAGTCCACGTGATTGATCTCGCCGTTCTTCATCGGTCGGCTGGTGTCTGGTGGCAGTGGAAAGTTGGAAGATTAGAGGATAAGTCATTGAAAGAGTGTCATTGGCAGCATGAAAATGATATATGAAAGCAGTGGAATAAATACTTTTAGAAATAGTTCTTCAGGTTAATGATAATTAGATCAATCACGTACGATAGGACGACACGCCAAATTTTAAACGTTAAAAATAAATATTACGACATACTCAACATTAATGAAAATGGCATCCACTATTCAAACAAATTAAATTGATTTAAGAACTTCCAATAAGGCGCAATGCAGAGAAATTAATTGATTTGGACTGAAACACGATGAAAGCCTAGGAAACAAACAAACAATTACGTACAAGTTGAATTTAAATGTTTTAAATGTAACGGCGCGGATAGATATACATTGAATGACACGTTAATAGGTGTACTAAACGCCAAGAAACAAATTTTTAATAGAAGAAAGTGCTTTCAAGAAATTTGGTGTGGCGAAACTTCAATAAAGATAATTACTTTTTATAATACATAAAAACGAATGTCCAAGACGATGAAGAACGTGGAGAAACCGATGAACTAACGAGGAATTGCCGGAGCGAACTTATCGAAATCAGATTCCATCAGCCTCTGCCTCAGCTCCTGCCTGCCCACATCACGGGGCCCAATGAGAACGATGGGTCGTTTGAAGGAGGGGTCGGGTTCCAACAAATCCACCTCCTCGTACGTTAAAAACTCGCTCGGTGCGTTGCTTTCTAAAACAATACGTACAATTTATAAATTAATTGTTGATGAAATAAAAAAATTTTCGTTAAAAATTTTATTTTAAGATGTCAGAAACAAAATCAGAGCGCTACCTGTTTTCCTCTTCTTCCTCTTGGAGACACACTTGCACTTCCTCTCGTTCTTCTTCTCCTCGGTATCCTCCATTATCAACTTCGTCAGTTCGGCTCTCCTATTATCCAAATTGAAAAAATTTATTTAATTCAATAATTTTAAACTCGTCAAACTTAATTTTTGAATTAGTCCAATGAAAATGCAAAACGATACGAATATATTTAAACATTCATTTTTTTCAAATAAGAGGCTGTAGTCAAGAATATGAAAAAACATTAAAAGAATGTAACTGCAGCTGGAAGTGAGGACTCGGGACGAGACCGGCGAGAACCTGATCATCCTCACCGTCTCTGTAGGCCTGCCACCAATTGCAATCGTTCGTATCGATGACGTGGATGACGTCACCTTTGGAGAAGGAGAAGCCGAGGTCACGACATGGAAGGTAGTTGTCTTCCTCCGGGTCGTAATCGAAGAGGGCTCGAATGTGGATCTGATTCAATTGTGCAAATCATCAAATCATGCCCTAACCAAATCAGATCACAAAAATACATGAAAAAAATAATTCTAAACACATTTATTTTTAAGAAAATCCCACAAAGATTAATTAATTAACAAGGTGAAAGTTAATTTTGTATAGTAGAAAGTAACATCAGAGAAAGATTATGGAACATACCGTCTTCAGTTTTTGACTGCTGTGTGGCTTGAAGCCCTCTCCAGGGTGAATGAGGAATGTTAAGTTGCCATCCAGTCTCGACTGTCCGATGATTTTTATTATATTATTATTAATATATTATAGATAGTCTAGATATAGATAATATAGATAATATTATAGATAATTCATACTTAACCATTATTGTTCTTCTAAATAACATCTCTATTTGGATGTCCGTTTTCGACGTACGTAAAATGAAGTTGTAACGTTTTTTTTATTATCTTCGTAGTTCGTAGTCGTTGCAAATCATTCAATTTAATTTTGATATGATCACAAAAGATTAAAATTTTTCCATTACCAATAGAGAGCATATTTGTAATTCTTCCTAGAGTTCATACAACCAAAACCAAACAAACAACAAAAAAAACAAACAAATAAACAGACAAACAAACATGCAAACAAACAAACAAACAACAAACAAGCATACATACGAACGAACAAACAAACAACGAACAAACAAACCATGAGGTCATAGATATCAGAAACAGTCTTGCCCCTGACATCGTGACCGTTGATTTCAAGTATTTCATCCTCCTCATGCAACAGACCACTCTTCTCGGCCACACCCCCTTTCACGATCCGACCAATCACAACTTTCTCACCAACATTTTTCACTGTGGCACCCTGTACAATGTTTTATTCATGTTAACAATGAATTTCGAATTTTTTGAAATTATATAAATATGTGTGAACACAATTTACTGCACACGAATTTACAAAATTCATATGGAAGTGCAAACAAAAGTTGTCAACGGACATAATTAATCTTATTATTCTACAAAACGTAAATTATTTTTTTCCTTTTGGTGAAAATAATTTTTATAATCAACATCTTCAATAGAAACTATATGAACTATTGAGACCATCTCAAAACAAAAAAAAAAAAAAAAAAAAAACAGAAGAACCCACCAAGGGATCACCCGACTTAACGAGCCTAACAATCTTGATGTCGTCATCACCTCCGAACTGCTGCACCTTTTCAGACAGATACGCCTTGTCCTGGTCGATCTGCTCTTTCGTTACGCCCGCCTCTAACTCTATTATCTTGTCGTGGGTCATTATGGCGTTCTGTGTGAAGGAATTAAGGAATCGGGATCATATTTTAACTTTTTATTTAAAATACGCTAAAAAACTAGTTTAAAATACAAACGTATGATAAACTAAAAATATAACCACACGCGCAAAGATATATTTATATTCAATATTATTACAAGAGTGGACAAACTTTGAAGTTAGGTTGATTAAAGAGGATCGTAAGTTCTCTAGCTGCGTAGTGATTGGAGAGTGAGATGTCCTTGAAGACTTCGTTACTCAGATGCTGCACACTTATTGACTCAAAGGCCTCTGTTGACGATAATGACGTCGGTCTTGGCACTTTGACGCCTCGCAACTTTACTTCGACGACCTTCATTCACATTCATTGATCAACGATGATGATTAATTACTAACGAATCTCTTGAAATTTACAAATTTGCATTTCATTTTTCAAAAGAAGTTTTGTGAAACTATCTCAGACAGTGCAAAAGAAATGAATAATGACCAAGTAAATGACAAAAAATATATAACTATTTCACGATAAGATGACGAAACTAACATAAATATTTATTTTGCTTATCATAGCCACGACAAAAATCTTCACAAACACATGAACCACACCTTATTATGGATCTTAAGGATTTGCTGGAACTTGTCGTCCATAACAAACCGGCTGATAACATTAAGGTCCTCCTTCTCGTTCTGTGAGTTCAAGTAACTCTGTACATGCTGCACTGAGGCCAAGATATCGTCTATTTCTAAGTGGGATTCAACATTTGAATTCAAAATTAGAAATATGCTAAAACCATTCATTCGTTCGTTCGTTCATCCGTCCGTCCGTCCGTCCATTCATTGATTCATTCATCCATCTGTTCATTCATTTATTCATTCATTCATTCATACATACATACATACATTCACGCATATTCGCAAAAAACTCTTATATATAAAATGACAAAAATTAATTTAAATAATCCGACATAACGTAATAAGAATACTCTAACAGAACTGTATGGCAGAGCACTCCAACCTACTTTGCCTCTCTAATCTCAGATGATTAAATTTATGACTCACTTTATCACCAGCCACGCAAATTCAACAAACATCAATCGCTGTTCGCTACGCTACCCATACAATAAAATCGGTTCTAAGATAACAATAGAAGAACAACAAATATAATCATAAAATATAGTCTCAATAATAAAAAGATGAAGAATTCTGTAATTTTCTTTAACCAGCAATTATTCAATTTAAAGAGACTATTTCATAATGAAATTTTTCTGCTGGTTATTTGGTAAATTCATCTATTTATTTATTTAATCACTCACTCATTCACTCATTCTTTCAATCATTCAGACAATCATTCATTTATTCGTTCGTTCAATTGTTCATTCAGTTATTAATTAATTTATTCATTCAAATATTTGTTCCTTTCACTCCTTCATTCATTCATTCGTCCATTCATTCATTCACTCATTCATTCACTCATTCATTTACTCATTCATTCACTCATTCATTCATTCATTCAAATAAAACGAAAATAATTTATTGTAAAAATAAACAGAAAAAGGTATCATAATTCAAAGACAGTATCAGGTTACCTTCAACAAAAAATTTCAGAAAAGTTCTGCCTAATATTATAAAACAGAGAATATACAAAACCATATGAATCGGAAATACTGAACAAATTACTACTAATACATAAACTTATTAATAAAAATAGTAACCAAGTAATTTGGTAATGGTAATAATAACATTACCAGTAATATTCTCATTAATAATATCAGTAAAAATATCAGTGATAAGCTAATAGTTTCATTATAATTAAAATTTTCATTAATACTGATATCATCATAGTAACCTGTAATGTCAAGAAGAAGTAAGATAAGACCCAATTAAAATTTAGGGAAAAACTAATGCAAGCATTATCTCAAATCTGAATGATGATGGTATTAACTGCGATGTCATTCATGTTCAGTTTGTGGTGCAGCATGCAGCACCAGTAGGTTTAAAAATTATTATAAATTTGTTGAAATCATTGTTAAATGTAGGTTTATCTAAAAAAAAAAGCTGTCAACATGATGTGTCTGAATCTATCGGCAGTCGAACCCAAGATATGAGGCATGACTACCTCGACATTTTTTCAACCACCCATTTTATATTGTATCTTCCGTGCTTGGTCATTTGTTTTAACGAAGATGTGCATAGACCCAAAAGATAGAAAATAAGATATAGGTAACAATAAAGTGGTTGTTCTTTCCTTGTCAAAAAGTCCCAAATTTGACCAATCAGCTATGGATGTTCCGCAAATTTTTGTATCGCCTCTTAAAACATTCAGATTATAACATCAAAAGCCCGAGATAAATTAGCTTTCACATGCATATACATGTACGTCTTTTCTTTCATATATTTGCATCTTAGTTTAATTTAGACGTGTATTAAACAAACTTATTAATATAAATATAACAATATGTGCGTGAGTGCGTGCGTGTGTACGTGTAAATGTATGTGTAAACTTATTTTCTTCAAACAATTATAAGAAACTGCAGTTTTCTTCTTTTTTAATATAGGACGATTGTCTTCAAAAACAAACAAACACTTATCATTGAAACGTGATTTTAAACTGTTCAGCTAGACAGGACAATTCTGAAGAACTTTTTTTATTTAACATAGAAGTGTGTGTTATTTGCGTCACAGGCTAATAATAATAATAAATAATTTATTTTAAAAATTGAAATTATGTTATATTCTGAGGAGGTAGAGAGGACAGTAAAAGTTCTTAAAGAACAGACATGTCGCCCAGAAACCCGAAGTTATTAAAAAAACATTCCTCTTTTGGGTAGGATATAATTTTGAAATATTATCTCTAATGTGTTATTATCACTGCCAACATTCTAACCATAGTGTTCTTCCAATTTTGAATTCTTAACGCAATATATGACATATACATACATATATATATATATATGACATAATATTAAAAAAAATGTTTTTTCATTACTTTGATGATATTATTCTTAAAAGAGCTAAAATAAACAAGCAATAGCCAAGGTTAATATAAATTACAGGAATGACCAACAAATTGAAAAGGGACTTCATCATGTTTTCCCTAGATAAACTCTGTAACCAACAATTTTAAAGTTGGTTTCTGTTTCAAGACTAGATCCAATAATCTTTTCCCCACAAATCTAACCTAAACCAAACCACATCTAATGAATCAATCAGACAATACATCATTACTCTTTAACCTAGCCTAATCTCAATTACTGAAAATAAATTTCCATAGTTACCGTTAAAAAATTTACGACAGATGTTAAGTTATTAACATCTAATTTCATCAATATCATCAAATGTAATACATGATAAGTGATTAACTAATATAATGTTACAATCAGTCTGGAATGAGTAACAAGCGTGTGTGCATGTTATTTATGACATAGTGGAAGATTTATATGCATTCCAGCACTAGACAAGACATCCAGATGACTCATCATTGATCAGTGCACTGCTGAAATAGTCATGATTTGATTAGAAGTTCACCCATGGTAATGAAATTAAAACTTCATATAATAACACTGGCTGCACTATTTCAAATCACATAAAATAACATGATCATTATTCTTTTATAAATCACACGCTCATTCACATTTCTAATTATTTACAAATTATATAAAATTTGAAATGATTTTTAAACAATTCTTAATGAATATTTTTATTAAAATTAAATGTTAAACCTAACACTATTGCGCAAAGAAGTTGTACAATTTTAAACTTTTGTTCTATTGATATGTATGTACAAATCAATAACTTCAATCTTCATACTCAGCTAATGTGTTACAACAATTCACAATACTGAAAATAATTTGATATCCAGATACCTCATTAAGCATTAGCTCTGGTATATACACTTCATTTTATTTATTATTATATTCAATATAAGGTGTTGTTTGATGTAAGATTTGAATGTAAGTAATGTTAAAAAATATTATAAATGATTATAAACAATAAGCTTATGTGGGTGATGACTTCTAAAGTTCTAACCAAATGACTAAATTACTATTAAAGTTTATCAAGGGAAAACCAAAATTTTGAATAGTGTACTGAACAAAATTTGTTAAATGAAAAAATCCAGTAAGTAAAAAATGTTTGCATGTTTGTTGATCGTCAGACATTTCTCATCAACAAAACCAAACGCAAAAGTTCTCTTGTTCATTTATCTTACTTTAACGTTTATTTTAATTTTATGAAACGCTTCGTTTTGGTAGATAAGCTTGTTCGCCAGCATACACATTAACATGCTAGTGATAAGCCCCATACATACTTATTCTTAAAGAACATTGAGTGAATTATTGAAAATTCCTGTTGTAGTTAAGAGATTGTGTATGTATGTGTGTGTGTATGTGTGTGCGTAAATTTGAAGTAGGGTGTCTTAAAAGTAAAACTTCAAAATGGTTTTTAGCATGTTGTGAACTAAGTGTGATAAATATATAAAAAAAAGGTTCAACTTAAAGAATCGTAAATTAAATATAGAAGTTTCACAAATCTAGAATCAAATCTATTATTTTAATGAACTTGCTAGTATGGTTTGATCAAACTTCAATCAACTTCAAAAATGAGCACTATTATATCATTAATCATTAATACTTTAATCCTTAGTTCTTTCAGTGAGAACCACAAATACAAAAAATAAAGACGGTACAAGTATTAAACGACTTCTCCACAAACAAAAGGTAACTTAATGGTAGCTACAGATCTACTAGCTAGAACAAATAAAAAAGCCACATCAGCTAGCTAACTCTAGTAAGATGCATGAATGAACAAATAAGTAACCTATTTGATTGCTGATGAGTGTTGGTTTCAACCTGCTTCTGTTCAATTCCTCTTCAGAAACGTAGTTTGGATTAAATATACCCGGCACAGCAGAGGAGCCCGGCGTCCCTGATGACGTGGACGGCTTGTTTTTGGGTTCTTTGAGTTCCAGCAACTTTTTTGAACCTCTTAATGACGTTCGCAAAAATTCTTGTTCCTTCTGAATTTTCTCTTCATGTTCTTTACGTTTTTGCAGGTCTTCTTTGTATTTTTTCATTTTGTTCTGTTGCATTTGAGTGCCGCCTTCATTTTTAGATGAGACGAAGCTGACACTTGATGGCATCTCATTCTCGTAATTGAAGTCTGCATCACCTTTGTTGTTCTGGTTGGGAATGATGATAATACTGTTTGGATTGTTGCCGTTGTTCAGAAGTGACGTGTTCTGAATCAATGAGAGTGGCCGTGGGTACCTGGGAGGTTCCTTCTTGAACTCCACAAAATTTAGTGGACAGTCGATGGCCATTTCGCGGTGAGATCCATTCTCGCTGTTGTCAGCGAGTTCGACGTCGCGGGGGACACTCGCGTTGAAATGTGGAGATTTTGTGGTTGTTGTCTTTTTGCCAGCCGGAGAAGATGTTGTTGCGGTAACGTTCTTGAATGTCTTGGGCTGAAATGGCTGAGGTTGAGTGGGTTTTATAACAGACATCTCCATTGCTTTATTTACCTACACTGTCAAAATATTTTTTGAACTATCTATACAACTATGTACAACTTTTATTATATATACATATACATCCAATCAAAATCAATTTCTTTGGTAATCGCAATAATCTTCTTTATTTATATATTAAATTAAATTAAAACTAAAAATTATTTATTGAAAAAAATCAACTACAATGACATTAAAAATTAAAATAGACAGCGCACAATGAAGTTTCATGTATACTACCCATGAAAATATAAATGCATAACATTACATACAAGAACAATTAAAACTTGAGAAAATCAATGCATATATCTCTATATATGTTGCGGTATAGATTCATATATAAAAACATTAATGTAGGTATATACATTCATAAACATAACAACTCTACGCAACAGCATCACATACGTGTAAAGATTCTACATACATTCACATCTTCAAACATGCCTAAAACCTATGCAAGTTTATACTGAGACAGACTTCTTCAGCTACAAGAATGCCTGAGCGTCTAACTGCACAAACACACATAATAAATAAACATACATGCACATTTAACACACGCGCACACATGCACACGCACACACATGCATACATACTACTGCACTAACTGCTTAATGTGTTTAAATTCAAACTAATGTCAAAGATCTCAATATTGATAACCAATGAAAGTTTAAGCCGGGAGTCTGCTATTTTCGGAATGATGTTTTGTGTGTGTGTGTGTGGTGTTCTGTGTGTGTGTTTGTATGTGTGTGCATCTGTTTCACACATGTATTTGTGTATCTGTGTAGTATAAACATTTACTTGTGTAAGTGTATGTGCGTGAGTGAATGTGTGCGTACTGTGCTTATGTTGAAATGTTTATACCAGTCAACGCATTAAACACACTACTTTCCAAGTGTACACTAGGTTAGGTTACGCAGGTTTATGAAATCTATATAAATTATACACATAAATTGTATACATATATGTATGTTAAATATGCGTTGTGTGTGTGTGTGAGAGAGAGAGAGAGAGAGAGAGAGAGGAGTATATGTGGTGTGAGAATTGTGTATGAATCAGAAGAGTGAATGTGCATGTTGTAGATGTGTGAGTGATCAATTATTGTATGTGACTGTGTATGTTTTAAATGAATACAATGCATGTTCATTGACACACACATCACACATACGCACGCACACACACACACACACACACACACACACACACACTTGCTCAGGGATTTATTTTTATTTTTTGTTCATATGAGATGGATGTGTTAATGTTATGAGCTAATTACATCAACCCAATTTTTTTATCATTGTCATTAATGCATCAGGTATAAATGGTGAATGTCATTAATTCTAATTTATAGCAAAATTATACACCAATCATGTGTGCGTGTGTGTGAGTTGATGTGCATACATGATGTGTGTATGTGTGTGTGTGTGTGTGTGTGTGTGTGTGTGTGTGTGTGTGTGTGTGTGTGTGTGTGTGTGTGTGTGTGTGTCCGCGCGCATCATATATCTGTGTATGAAAAATTTCCATGCTGGAAATATTTGTCAACAGTAATTTTTTAAATTTAGGAATGTGTGAATGATGAACACTTTTTGGGATGATTCACATGAGTATGTATGCATTTATGTATGTATGTATGTATGTATGTTAAAACCAAAACATGATGAGTGACACTGAACCGTCAAACATCAAGTAACAAATGGATTAACTCTTTGATTTGTCGTTAATTGCACATGTCGGCATTCAGTTGGATATTTTCAAGCACACAGACACGCAGGAACCGCTGCAACAAGCACGAAATGTGGTTAGTTGCGAAAAACAGTTCCCTGCTGTCGCCTGATCTGACGCTGATCATTTTACATATTGCCTTAAGAAATTTAAGGGTGTTGGGGTCCATCGGGCCGAGAACCTCGATACATATTGGCAAGAATTCCATCGAGGGGAGGGCGTTCCCATATTCTTTCATTTTCTCGTCCGCTGCCCTGGCCGCGGCCAAACCGCATTCTTTACTTGTCAGGTTTACGTATTGTTCGGCGAGGGTGCCAGGGACCGTAACATCCCACGCCAAACATCTGCCGGCTCTCCAAGGTATTAGTGTGCATCCGTCCGGGCGCCTACCATCATGCGCAGAAATACCGGATGGTTCCTTGAGAACCGGGATTGAAGCCTTGGAGAAGAGCCGACAAATGTATTCGTTTAGCGCTGAGTGACGTAGTTGACGGCCCCCACCCAGACGACAAACCAAACCGTGGTGCCCAAACTCGTCCGCCTCTGCGCCACATCGCCGCATGAAGACAACAAATTTTGAAAGATTTTTTTATATTCTTCGTTCAAAATTTGGACGTGCGTACGGTCTCCCGGGGCGGACACTGGGGGAAGAATATCGCGGCAACGAAAAAACCGGTGGAGCAGGGAAGACTGCAGGTCGAGAGTGGCAGCGGCAGTGTATGTATGTATGCATGTATGTATGTATGCATGTATGTATGTATTATTATTACTATTATCTACAATTTATTAAACGCATTATAAAATTAAAATTTCTCGAAAGCGCTCTCTATTAGAAATGAAATCAGTGAAGGTCAATAAAGTATAAATCGATAAAATATTTCTATGTAAAAAATAAATATTGTTATAATACTCGCTGTCGTAACCGATTTACGATGCGACGGGTTCAAATCTTCGATTGAATAAAATACTCCAAACAGTTATTAGTTATTAAACTTTATTTACAGAAGAAATCAACTAATCGTTTATTTCTAGCAGATTCAAATTAACGCAGCAATTAACTTTTAAATTGTTCAAAATCTATCGCTATATCTAATCTATCTAGATTCTTCTAGATGGTCCGATTCTAGCATATTCTAGCATGTTCTAGTGCGTTCGGTAGCACGGTTATAACATTGCCCCCTTCTTAGTTCTGTTCGTCCCGAACAGCTTTCGTTCCGGTGTCCGCATGGTACGGAGCCAGTCTATCCAAATGAACGATCTTCATTCTTGCTCTCGGCTTCCGATATTCCTGAATACGATAGACGACGTCATTCAAGCGGGTGATGACTTGATAAGGTCCTTCCCACCCTCGCTGAAGCTTTGGAGAACGTCCTTTCTTTTGCTGTGGGTTGTACAGCCAAACTAACTCGTCGACAGCAAAACCGCCACTGCTTCCTTTCAAGTCGTATCTGGTTTTGGCCGCCTCCGTGTTTTTCATAATTTTAAGGCGTACGTAACAGTGGATATGGTTTAATCGCTGTCGAAGATTATCCACGTATTCTGTTAATGGTTGGTGTGGTTCAGGTGGTACGCCATATTTCACATCAGCTGGAGTTCTTAAGGTAGTCCCAAACAGAACTTTTGATGGCGTTTCTCCAGTAGTTGTGTGGATAGCACTCCGGTATGCCATAAGAAACAATGGTATATGACGATCCCAATCCCGTTGATTTTCGTCGACTACTTTAGCCAGATGTTCAATCAGGGTTTGGTTAAATCGTTCCACTATACCGTCAGACTGTGGGTGAAGAGATGTCGTTCGAGTTTTGTTTATACCCAGCAGCTTGCACATTTGTGACTCAGTTGTGACTCAAAATTTCGACCTTGATCTGAGTGGAGTTCCAATGGGACACCATATCGACTAATCCAATTGAGTACAATTTCCTCAGCGACGGTACATGCTTCTTGGTTGGGTATTGGAAACACCTCAGGCCATTTGCTGAAATAGTCCACTACAACCAGAATGTAACGGTTTCCATAATCTGATACCGGAAAGGGTCCAGCAATATCTATATCAATACGTTCAAAGGGGACACCAACATTGTAGATTTGCATTGCTCCTTTTAGCCTTCTTTTGGGTCCATTGACTGAAGCGCATGTGTTACATTTTCGACACCAGCTCTCTACATCTTCTCTAACGTGAAGCCAGTAGAATCCTTCTCGTATTTTGTCAAGGGTCTTGTTCACTCCTAAATGTCCCCCAGAAGGGCCGCCATGCATTTCATCAAGGATTTCGGTCGTTCTACTTCTTGGTATTACAACTTGCATGCGGTGTTTTGATCCATCAGCTGATTCCCATTTTCGTTTCAGCAAATCCCCTTCCAAATACAAAGAGTCCCACTGAGCCCAATAATCCTTTAACACGGCACTATATTCTGAGATGCTTTGCAAGTCCGGTCGCTTGCCCTCCTTCTTCTATGTGATCAGATGTTGTAGGTCCTCATCCGCAAACTGTGCATCAGCAAGATCCGTCGGTGTCCAACCGTCATCCGCTGATATTGTTGTTGCTCTTATGTCTTCCGATTGTACCTTCTCCTCGTGACGACAGCAATATTTGCATCCCGGTAAACATGGTCGACGTGAGAGAGCATCAGCATTACTATGAGTTGTTCCTTTGCGGTGCACGATCTCGAAGTCGTACATTTGTAAACGCTCCAACCATCGGGCCATCTGTCCTTCAAGATCCTTGAAGTTAAGGAGCCATCTTAACGCTGCTGATCAGTTCGGAGAAGAAATTTCTGTCCATAAAGGTACTTGTGGAAGTGTTTTGTTGCATTGACTATTGCTAGTAACTCCTTCCTGGTCACACAATAGTTTCGTTCGGACTTTGTGAATCCTCTGCTATAATACGCTAGCACCTTTTCTTCTCCGTCTAGATGCTGTGACAAAACGGCTTCAGTGTATCAGTGCATCAGTATCTAACACAAACGTCTTGCCACGAACTGGATATGCTAGCAAAGGAGCATCACATAGTTCAACTTTTAACTTTTCAAATGCTGAGTCGCATAGGGTATTCCAGTTGAAAACTCGGTCCTTCTCGGTAAGTTGGTGGAGAGGTCTGGCAACTTTTGCAAAATCCTTTACAAAACGTCGATAGTACGTTGCCAATCCCAGAAAACTGCGCAATTCATTTTTATCCTTTGGAGTTGGCCAGTCTTTCACAATTTCTATCTTGCTGGGATCGGCTCAAACTCCATCTGAAGATACCACATGTCCCAAATAGTTAACTTCTTTACAAAATAACCTGCACTTTTTAACGTTCAGCTTTAAATTTGCCACCCGAAGTTTTGTGAAGATCTCCTGTAACTTTTCGACGTGTTGATCAAATGTTCTTCCTAGAACAATTATGTCGTCTAAATAGACAAGACAGGTTTTCCAGTTAAGACCTTGCAATACACATTCCATCAGTCGCTCGAATGTAGCTGGAGCATTGCACAATCCAAATGGCATGACGGTGAATTGCCACAACCCCGATCCGATAGAAAACGCTGTCTTTTCGCGAACGTTCTTGTCGATTTCTACTTGCCAGTATCCGCTTTTCAAATCAAGCCTAGAGAACCAACTTGAGCCAGATAGGGTGTCCATGATGTCATCAATCCTCGGTAACGGATAGCTGTCCTTTTTAGTCACATCATTTAACTTCCTATAATCAACGCAAAAACGGGTAGTGCCGTCCTTCTTCTTTACCAAAACAACTGGCGAAATCCAAGGACTTGATGACGGTTCGATGACGCCTTGATTCTGCATTGTCGTTATCATTTCGTTTACTTCTGTTTGTTTTGCTAGAGGAAGACGTCGTGGTACTTGTCGGATCGGTTTCGAATCCTGAGTATCAATTCGGTGAGTTACCAGAGCTGTTTTACCTTGGTCATTGTCACCGGTTGAAAACACGTCTGCAAAATCAGCAATCAACGCCTCGGCTTTTAGACGGTCTTCTTGATACAAATTGAGTTCATCCAGTAGATTTTTGGTAAGTTCTTTGAGTCTACCTTTGTCAGTTGGTAGAACCTTTTCCTGTTGCTCCGTATCTAATGATTTCACCAAATTTATTGATTGGCAATTACCTATTTCCTCGCCTTTTTTTAATTTTAATAGTGTGTTTAGCGGTATTCATTATTCTGACAGGAATAAGACCATTTTTGTTTGCTTCTACCAGGCATTTTCCAATGACCGCGTTCTGTGCATTTGTTGTTGAGGTTGGCTCCATCAAATAGAACTGGTGGCCCCCAGGATCGCAATTCAACTTGCCCCATACGATGTTTTCAGATGATTGAGGTAGTTCTATGTCACAATCGACTGTCACTCGAATGCATTTTTCGTCGCTATCCCCCATTATCATTTCTGTATTTCTCCATCTAAGAATGCGTTTTTCTAAGTCAATTTTGAACCCATATTTTGTCAGAAAGTCGACACCTATTATGCATTCGTCGATGATATCCGCGACTAAGAATGAACCTTCGAATAACAAGTCGCCTAGCTGAACAGTACGGAGAATCTTTCTATAGACTGGTGCTGTTCCTCCGGTAGCTGTTCGAAGGATTTATTTGTTAGAAGTCTCTTTCTTCAGATTGGGTACCAAATCAGATCTTAAAATCATTTTTGTTGTTCCGGTGTCGACTGTAATTACGCATTCTCGTTGATCAACTTTTCCGTTCAGCCATAGGTCGTTTCGATTTCGATGTAGTCTGGAAACGTTAATTACGGTACTGGGGGCGTCAATTCTACTAGCCAACCACTGCCTCGCAAAGTTGGCTCTTATTAGTTTTCCGCTCCTTCGTTAGAAGGGGCCGATCGTGATACAGGATCATCTTCTCTTCTTTTGCGCCATCTTGTCGGCAGTGGTTATCTTTTAGGCGGTGTTTACAATCACGACATAGATGGCCTTTTTCACCACAGATCCAGCATTGGGGTACACCATGCTGTTGGGGTTCGCGTTTCACAACCACCTTCTGGCTAGAGCATTCTTCATGTACTTGGCGTAGACATACGTCACTTTTTGATGCTTGCTTTGCCGATTCAAAAGTGAGACTGTGCGCAACGGCATCCTTGAGTTTTCGTTTATCTGACAAGAGAAGGGATTGCTTGAGTTCCGAATCACGAAGGGCTTTGATAAACGTATCCAGGGCAGTTTCGTCTCTATGCTCGGGGTCTGATGTCGGATACGACAGCAATATCAACCGTTCGATATCTTGTGCCAGCTGCTGAATGGATTCACCAGATCGTTGCGTTTTGTTTCTAAGCTGAAACCGATAAATCTGTTTCATGTGTTCTTCACCATAACGTAAATCCAACGCGCTAACAAGAACTTCATAGTTGAAGTGGTTCTCCGCCGGAATCGTCCAAAGAACCTCTGCTGCTGAACCTCGCAGGGCCAGTATCAGTGCTGTTGCTCGTTCTTTTCCGTTCCAACAGTTACTAGTTGCCACTGCTTCGAACTGGGTTTTATAAACGTTCCAGGACATCTCTCCGTCAAATGCTGGTACCTTCAAAGTTCTTCCGGATGCGTAATCTAACGGCATGGCCATTTTTTTGGATTGTTCCAATTCTCGCTTCAATTTGTCTATCTTTTGATCTACCTCAACGGTCTGACGATCAAGTTTCTGCTCGATCATTTCTATTCTTGTTGACTGTTCTTCAATCTGTTCTGCCACTTCCAATTTTACTTGTTTTAGCTGGTCCTTGATCTGTTTTAACTCCTCTGTCTGTCGTTCGGACTGTCGTTCGAACTGTTCTTTGATCTGTTCGGACTGTTCCTTGATCTGTTGTTTTATTTCAGTTGACATACTAAGCAGAAGTTCCATCATTTTAGCGGTTGTAAACGTGCCTGTGCTAATTTCATTGTCTTCGTCAGCACCATCAAACTTGAATTCGTCTGGGTTCTTACCTTCGTCAATGAGAGCTTCTCAGACGTGCTACAAGTACTTCTTTGTTGCCACTTGTAACAAGGCTTCGTTTCTGTAGTTCTTCTCGTAGCTGAACTACGTTCAAACCACACAGTTTTGACATCGTGTTCTTTTCCTATGAGTAGTAATTCGTTGGTCGAAGATCCCACTTCTGACACCAATGTTATAATACTCGCTGTCGTAACCGATTTACGATGCGACGGGTTCAAATCTTCGATTGAATAAAATACTTATTAACAGTTAAAACAGTTAATATTAAATAATATTATATTATTATAATATTATATTATTATTATTATATTATTAAATAATATTAATAAATACTTAAAACAGTTATTAGTTATTAAACTTTATTTACAGAAGAAATCAACTAATCGTTTATTTCTAGCAGATTCAAATTAACGCAACAATTAACTTTTAAATTGTTCAAAATCTATCGCTATAACAACGTCAACAAACAAATCAAATATCGCTTTAAATAATTCACCGAATCGCTATTCACAAAATCACAGAGTCACGAATTTACAAAATCACGAATTTCACTAATCGCTAATCTTCTTGCGACGTGCGCTTATATACTCTTCGCAAGCGTCGTTTCTAGATTCTTCTAGATGGTCCGATTCTAGCATATTCTAGAATGTTCTAGTGCGTTCGGTAGCACGGTTATAACAATATGTTTTTAAGTTCCTCTTAAAATCATCAAGCTTTAGTCCCGGCATTCTGAGCGATTGCGGAAGACTGTTCCAGGCAATATTTCTAGTTGCAGTATGTAGTTGTCACTGCCAGTAGGTTGGCATAGTCTGATCTCAATTTTACACCTGTTGAAGAAGCTGGCTTTTTTAAGATTTTATTTACTAGATATACTGGTAACAACCCGTTCATAGCCTTATATATAGTCATACAAATCTTATAGTTGATTCTTTTTTACACTGTTAGCCAATGTAGGTCTCTTAAAATGGGTGTCACATAGTCATACTTTCTACGTCCAACAGTTATTTTTGCAGCTCATTGAGGAAAAGCAACAGATCTCACTGGTTATCAATGGAACAAGCTATTACAGTAGTCTAACCGTGAATGAACAAACGCATGAATTAGTGTTTGCGTGGTTGTTTGATGTAAAGATTTTCGAACGCGGTATAACTGGCAAAGCTGATAAGAACACGATTTAGATATGGTTTTTATATGATCCTTGAAAGATAATCTCGAGTCAAAAATACATCCTAGGTTTGTTGCATTTTCACAGAATTGTTTTTCATTATTATCAATTTTGACTGAATTAATATTAATTTTAGAAAACTGTTGCCATGTACCAACAGGTGAAAATTGAGTTTTCTCTTGATTCAATTTGAGACAATTTCTTTACATCCATGTACCTATTTTAGTCAAGCATTCAATGAAATTTTCAACTTTACTTTTAAATGTATGTTTGTATGTATGTAGTTAGTTGTCTTTGGTTATGTTATGTAAACATTTGTACATTAAAACAAAAAATTAAAGCCAAAAACTTCCTTCTATGTAGAATTTTAATGAGTCTATGCTTTATACAGAATTTTATTTAATCTATGTTTTAACAACAATTTTGTCATAAAGGTCAAAAAAATGATTGACAACTTGGAACCACGCCCACAAAAATTTACACTGAGAAAGAGTTAAAAGTTGATTAATATGGTTTGTATTCAAAATCGAATAATCATATTTAATTGATCTCAATTGGCCAGTCATTAAAATGCAAACATAGTCTTGGTCAATGTTTATTTTAAAAAAACAACTTAATATTGCAATTTATTATTTAAATAACTCACTCACTCACACACACACACACACACACACATTAATATTCATGTTTCTACATTTTATTTTATTTTTAAACATATATTCGGCCATTTCATACTTCGAACTAAAAATTGCCATTTAACAAACTTAACAGGCTTCTAAATAGAACAGTTTATGAATAGTTATACATTCTCTAATAGTATACTCAACTATTTTAAATTTTAAATGGTGAAAAAATGTTAATAAATCAACATTAAAAATTAATAACATATTTATGTATGTATATTTACATGCATGCATTGGCTAAAGCCTTTAAAACTAATAGTTGATTTGATGAGTTTAGTTAGCACAACTATGAAATAATAATAATTACATAATAAATAATAAAAATAAATTTTTAATCTACTTAATTGTTAAACTTTATTTTTATTTTATTATTACAAATAAAAGAGTTGATTAATTGAATTAAATTACATTTTTACCCATATATTTTCCAGAAAAAATACAGTAACACCATGGCATATATGTAACTGTAACAAGTAACTACAAAAAAGTTAAATGAAAATAATTGAAAAATTTATAAATAATAAAATAAAAAATAATTAAATGTTTCTTTCTTAGCTAGATTTTAGGTTTACCTTGAGTGAGTGAGTGAATGAGTGAGTGAATGAGTGAATGGATAATAAATTTGCAACCAATTTTAAATTAATGAACAAATGAGTGAATGTGTGCGATTGATTAAAACATCAGCAGACATGAACCCTGAAGAAGATAACATACAGACACACACACACACGCACACGCACACGCACGCACATATACACACACACGCACTAACATATATACACACACACACACACGCACAGTCATACACTGTTGACTATCACTATTCTATTGAATCTATTATAAACAGAAACACACACCAAACTTTAGAGTTAGACAATCACATTGGCCTTAACAAATCCAAATCTTCTGAGATATTTACAGACTTGAATAAAAAAATAACTTTAAAACACTTTTAGCGTTTAATTAAAAAATTTCTTGAAACACTGACAGGAATTTAATTTAACAAATCTCCAATAAAAATAACAACAATACAGGTAACAAACCAAAAACCTTAAAATGTAAGTTAACTTTTAGTTACACGAACGAGGAGTAGGTGTACCCATGGATATATATATATATTATATATATATATATACATATTATATATATATATATACATATTATATATATATATATATATATATCAATCAATCAATTAGCTTGTAAAGCGCTATTTCCGCGATGTTCAACAGCGATCCTCAATGAATTTTGAAAACAGATGGGTCTTGAGATCCGCTCTGAACTTTGTAAGTGATGGAGAAGTAGTCAGAGAAGAAAGTAGAGAGTTCCAGAGAAAAGGGCCAGAAAAAGCAAAAGCAGATTTGGAAGAAGAGTGTTTAACACGAATTAAAAAGAAGCTAGAACAAAAAGACGATCGTAAACCAGGGCGTTTAGGTTCAATTAATATATTTGATAAATACTTAGGAAATAATTTAGATTGAGACTTATACATAAACGTGCAAATTTTAAAAATTATTTTATATTTTATAGGTAGCCAATGCAAGAGAACAAGATATGGAGATATAGGAGAAAAGAAAGGGGCACGAACAACTAGACGAGCAGCAGAGTTAAAAGCTTTACTTAAAGGATAGAGTATAGAGTCAGGAAGACCATAGTAGAGCGAGTTACAATAATCAATCCTAGATAAGACTAACGAAGTAACAAAAAGGAGAAGAGTAGGATCATCAAGAAAAGGCAAAAGTTTTTTTATTCTACGTAGATGAAAGTAAGAGCTTCTAGCGACACTATTGATCTGAGAAGAAAGAGACATAGTAGAATCAAAGATAAAACCTAGACTACGAAACTTGTGAGAGACATCAAGAGTTTTAGAATCAGGTAAGATAATAAGAGGAATAGTAATAGAGTGTTTAGATTTATTAAAACAAATTAATTCAAACTTAGAAGGATTAAGTTTCCTAGAGTCAGACAAAGCGATAATTGAAGAAAAACATAGAGATTTGGGTTTAGACTATCATAAATACAATTATTTATAAAAAAAAAAAAATAAAAAAAAAATAAAACAATTTTCAAGCCAAGTAGTATAGTTCAATTTATATGTGTTTTTCAATTTGAAAAGGCCATTAAATCATCATAAATGATCATTTTTTCGCTATAATAAAATTATGTTAAAAGCTTCTATGTAGTTAATTTTTAAACGTTCGTTAGAGACCAAAACTAGCGCTGAGAAAATAGTTTGTGTGTCGCAAGGTAGTACTAGAGAATTTAGAAAATCTCTCAAAGCAGATGTTTAAATTATAAGAACCTCAACTTCAGAAGCTCCCTGCGAAATTTTTCCAACGATTCACAAACAACGTAACGATGCGTTGAACATGAGTCAGTGAGATGTTTTTATTGAATCAGTCTTTTGTTACTCCGTGTCCATTCCATACATAAAACATGATTATTTATGACGATCCCTGATAATTCAATCAAAAGTATGCAGATGGGGAAAAATAACATGGAAAGTTTTCAGTCCAGTAAATTATTATTAGTTTGAGTAAGTGAGAAATTACGATGAAGGCAGTGATGACGATAATGTTGATGAATATGATGATTGTGATGATGGTGGCAACAACAGCTAAGATGGGGATTAAAATGATGATAATTTAAATCGTGATGAAGAGTTTATAATTAATAAAATATCAAAGCGTGTTTGCTGCTTCAAAAAACGTAAACAAAAAATTCTAATATATTTTTGCAACATAATTTACAAAGCTATAAATAAAAAAATTGTTCAACTAGTGCAATAAAATTAGCCAACACCTAAAAAATACCAGAACAACAACCGTGAAATGGAAGACCAATGTGCTTGTTACATACCTAAGCTTAAAATACACACACCTCACAATAACAAAAAATTTTCCATTCAAAATAACTCTGCGATTTCTTTGATGTCTGTCCTCAAGATGTTACCAAGCTATTTTCGTACTCTCAACTCGTCGTCTTACTCGTCATTCTTATGCATGTGCGTTACCAATATAGAAAGTTTTGATGGCGAAATGCAAGTGTTCGTGTGACAACATGACTACCAAAGAACCAACATCGTCCGCATTTTCGTGTTTGCTTTGCAGACATTTTTAGGGACATCTCATTTATCTGAAGCAGAAGACAAATTAGAACCAATTTCGAGGATATAAATAACTTTGTATGTTTGTAGTGTCTGTGTGTGTGTGTGTTTGTGTTGTTTTGTGTGCGTGTAGTGTTTGTATGTTTGAAAGGTTTTCT